GCAGCAGGGGGGTGGGAGGCGGGGGTCCCGCAGGCAGCAGAGGGAGCTTACACCACCATCTGGATGGCCGAGGCTGTGAAGGTCAGTCCTTTCAGCTGGACGATGGGCTCCAGCAGGCTCTGAGGGCCCGGGCTGGCCTGGAACTGGGTGAAGGTGAAGTGGGTCTCCATGATGTTGGAGTACTGCATCAGCGAGAACTGCGGGCGAGAGGGGCCTGGGCTCAGGAGCTGTTGTTTTGGGGTTTAATACGCTTTTTATTTCAGAATAATTTTGGGCTTGCAAACCATGGTCTGTGTTTTTTTTTTCCATTTTAAGCACTTTTATTTTTTAAAAAAATATATTTTATTGATTCTTTACAGAGAGGAAGGGAGAGGGATAGAGAGTTAGAAACATTGATCAGCTGCCTCCTGCACACCCCCTACTGGGGATGTGCCCGCAACCAAGGTACATGCCCTTGACCGGAATCGAACCTGGGACCTTTCAGTGCGCAGGTCGATGCTCTGTCCACTGAGCCAAACTGGTTAGGGCATGGTCTGTGTTTTTGAGGCCCAGCAAATATATACTGAAACCCACAAGAAAAGAAAATGACCCAAAAAGACAACCGGAAACTCGAAATCCAATAATGCTTCTTTCATCGTCTGCAAAGAATAACCTTGCCAACCACAATATTTGTTAAACTTACATCTTAAAAAATGATAACACATGAAATCAATTTGTAGCTGTGTTTCCTCACTCCTCAAGAATTTGTACATACACATTCACTAATTACTGGGAGATAAAATAAGATGAAGAAGCCATGAATTAAGAATTGTAAAGAATCATCAATGATCTGGCCAAGTTACTTTCAGTCACATTTCACAGCAGAATTATTTTACAAAATTTTCAATGCTTTTAAACAGCAAAAACATCCTATTTTCTGTGGCATGTGGGAACCTATTAAATGCAATGGGGGGTGGGGACCTCCTAGGGTCAGGACGCAAATTGGCCCTGCGCTGGCACCTTACCTTGACCCTGGACCCTGGCCTCATCCCGGCACAGGCCTGCCGGGCCAGCCACCCCAGCGATGCCACGCCCCCTCCCGGCTGTCGTCCCCAGAAGCAGACCCTCCCACCCCACTCCTCAGGCCTAGGGGACCCAGTCTTCACCAGGGTGCTGGTGCCCTTAAACTGGCCCATCACGGCTCTGACAAAGTTCTTCATCTGCTTAAAGTCAATTTGGCCAATGCTGCCCGAGCCATCGATGAGGAAGACAATGTCCATCTCTCGGTGCGGACACTCTGTGGAGAGGGAGGGAAGACCCAGAGATGCACGTGTGGGTGCCAGCCACCTCTGAGGACCCGGAAGGCCTTCCCCCTCCACAGACGCAGGGGGGTGTCCTGGGCATAGGAATCAGTTCCCACCCGGTTTCCACACCCTCCACGGAGGAGACCCACGCCTGTGGCCCCAGCCCCATCTCCCCTCAGCGGGGTCCCTGTGGCTCCCCTCTTCCCACAAGGCCTGAAAGGGGGAAGGAGGAAGTAGAGAACAGGGGCCCAGTGGGTTCCTCAATCATTTAGTCAACAAATATCTATTGAATACACGCTCTAAAGATGCCATCGAGGTTAGGAGAAGGCATTTTAGCAAAATGGTCCAGCGTGTGCACCCTGAGCCAGCATGCTGGGCTCAAGTCAGCCCCACCACCTGCCAGTGGTGGATTCAGGCAAGTTATGTAACTCCACTGGCTTCAGTTTTCCCATCTGTAAAATGGGCACAAGAATAGTGCCTCCCACGTAGGATCATTGTCAGGATAAGAAGAACTGATGGGAACACAAAGTGTTTGGTCGTTATCCCCATCGGCACCACATGCTGGCGTGCGCTAGGCCCAGGGACGGACACGCTGGCAGCTGGGGTGTGCCACCCGGCCCGATCCCTATCAGGACGAAGCGCTCCTCCCAGCCACAGGGAGTTAGCTGTCCAGGGCTCCCGGTGGAGTCCCTCCCAGGAATCACGCCAGTCCAAAAGGGAGCTGTCTTGCCCACCGTTACACCTCCTGTTCCTGGAGGCAGCCTGTATCCAGCCACGCTCCCAGCTCTGAGCTCCCAGCTCCCAGCTCCGAGCTCCGGCTGAGGCCTCTGATCCGATGGCTCTGTGTCCACCCTCTCCCTCTGCCCAGTCCTGCTTTCCTCACACTCACGGGCATTGCTCCGAGACCCTTCCCAAGTGAGCCTCAGAGTCTGTTCCAGGGAGATGTACTATAAGACCAGAGCTTCAAAAAAGATGTCGCCCCTGCCCTGCGGAGTCCACACTGCAGTGGAAAGCCAGGCCTTAAGCAGGTGACAAATAAGACATTTCGGATTGTTCCCACACTCGTGCCGGGGGCTGTGGCCTGTCTGCCAGACCTAGTTGCTGCCTCCACTGTGCCCACATCCTGTGCTGCCCCGGGCTGGTGGGGGCCAGGGACCCAGCACTGAGGAGTGAGGCTGAGCTGAGGCCGCTCCTCCCCCGTCCTCCCGCTCAGCCAGCGGGTGCAGAGAGCAAATGGGAAATCACATCCCCTTTCTCCCCGAGGACTAGGAGAGCCAGCCCCACGGGCCCACTGGCAGGCTCAGAGGCCCCGGGCCCCCTTCTCATGTTATCCCCGCCCCCAGCTGGGAGCTGGTGTTCCTGTCACTTGTGCCCACTTTCCCAGCTGCATCTCGAAAGCACCCCCACACCCTCTCTGGCCACACGAGCTCCCTTGTCAAGTCCCTTCTGTGTCTTGCTCCTTTCATGCGACCCCCTGGCCTCCAACAGCAGCCCCCGCTGTACCACGTCTTCTGGAAAAGGACCCGGCCAGGCAGGCTGCACCCGAAGTCCTCCATCCCTAACAGTGGCGCTCACCACTGACCTGCTTTCTCGGCTGTGGTGGGGGTCACCCTGCCCAGCACCCAGGATCTATCTCGTGAGGATGCAACAAGGTCGGGCGCCCTCCACTGCCTGGATGCCGCCCCTTCCCTTCCCTTCCAGGCAAAGGCCTCGCCTGCAGGTTTACCTCCCGCGGCCCATTTCCTCGGGCCCCGGAGACATCAGGGAGGCATTTACCTCCGAGCGTTTAAATGCCCCATCCCGGCCCCTGGCTGCACAGCCTACGGGCAGGGCCTGGCACCCGAGAGCGGACATCCTCCTCCACGCTCTCTCTCTCTCTGCAGACTCTGCGGCCTGCGGGGTTCCTGCTGCTGCTTCACCGTCGGCTAAAAGCCGGCCACGGCTTCCCTGACCCAACACACTGTCCTCGGTCATGTCCTCAGTCAGTACCAGAGAGGCCGGCCCTGCCCTGGGCCCGCTCTCCCCTCGGCCACAGAGGAGGCAGCGTGGTCTCCCTCCTCGCCACGGAGCCCTCCGCTAGGCCAGGCCACGCTTTATGTCTATTTAATCCTCACAAGCACCTTGGTGATTTAGCGCCATTTTACCAACGAGGAAACCAAGGCCCAGGGAATGAAGCGACGGCCCCGGTACACAGGAGGTGACCACGGGCAAGAGCCGCCGGCGGTGCCCAGGCCCATGCTCTGTGCACGATGCCAGTGCCGGCGCCCTGTGCACCCTCCCACGGCCTGCCATTCGCTGCCCTTAGTGGGGCAGAGTTCATCTGGGGACGCTGGCAGCTCAGCACCGAGGCCGCCTCAGCAGGAGGCGGAGACCAGGCCTCATGCCTGCCCGCTTCTCGGTGCCAGCACGTGGCCCCACAGAACTGCTGCCCTAGGAGACCTACCTGGCTGGGCATCGGGGACTCTCCGGACAACCTGCAGCTGGGAGTCCAACAGGAGGCAGGACCCTTCCACGTGCATGTTCTCCCCACAGGCTCTGTGCATGGTGGGGCCGCAGGCCTGGGTGCAGAGGCCTGTGTAGGCAAGGGGCCCAGAACACTCCCCCTCCGGCCCCTCCCCAGCCTCCGCTGGCGCCTGCCCCTCTTGACCCTGCTGTGACCCAGGAAACTCACCAATAGCCAGGGGCGGTGGACGGAGGCCGCGAGGGACAGGCCGAGGGACATGTTCACAGCCTCTAGGGGGACTGAGGGCCAGACACACATGGTCACACTCAAGGCACACCCTCATTTTCGGGGAGAATCTGGGCTGGAGGCTGAGAGGGGGGACTTGGGCATGGAGAGTCGAGGCCGGATTTCCGGGTGGAATCACTCACTGTGCAGTGAAAGGGGCTGACACAGGCCGGAGGCAGCGTCGCAGTCGTACAGCCGTCCGGTCTGGTTGGCTCCCACCACCTCCAGGGGGGCTCCCACCACGAGTCTGGAGGCACAGCCATGACACACGTCGCAGGAGGGGTGGGGGCACAGGGTG